TGCATGTAAAATGGTTTCGTGAGGGCAAGAGCAACGCGAGCATGTACTAGAGTCAGTCAACCTCCTATCAGCTCGAACCTGATTTGTTGGAAGGGCTGAATGAAGGCCTTGCCACAGAAAGAATTATTTATAAAAAATAATTTAAATTATAGCATAAAATTATTTATATTTATCGATAATTTATTTTAAAAATATTAAATTAAATTCATGACTATTTAAAATAAATAAAATTGAATTATATAAGTAGCTAAAAAGTTTTTAAAAACTCTGTCATCAAAAGAATTTTTTTTTAAATGTTATTGTACGAGAATAGGGGAGTTTACGATTAGGGGGAGTTTACGATTAGGTTAGTTTAAGTTTGGGTAAAAATCTAATTCAAGTCAATTAATTGTAATTGGTTTGGATTTATTCAAATTTTATATATTTTTTACTTGACCCGAATCGACATTTTTTAGTTTTTATATTTATCTTCTTCAGTCAGTTTTAGTTACCATAATTTAATATAAATCTTTTTAATTCTTATATTTGTAACTTTGTAATTCTTTTAGTTCTTATTGTTAATTTTTTTGTAATATTGTCTATTTTGTGTTGATGTGCTTCAATTTTCTGAAGGTAAAACAAACATGTCTCAACAATAGATGTTGTAAGTGAGGATAAAAAAAAATATGAAACATCCAAAGAGTTAATTTAAAGTAATTCTAACAAAATAAAATTGATATCCATTTAGTAAAATAAATTTAACACCAAAGACATAAATTTGAATTAATAATTTTGTCATGTCAACATAAAATAAATAATATAAAAAAAAACATCAAAGATTAAAAAATTGTAAGTATAGAAACAAAAAGATCTATCTAAAATTATAAAAGACAAAAAAAATTGAAAAAAATAAGTATAAAAACTAAAAAAGTCAATTTTAAACATAAAAAATTAAGAGGTAATGTAAAGAAAATTATATAAACTATAAAAATATTTTTTTTAAAATATAATAATAATAATTAACACCCTTATTTTTACGAAACTTTCTAGATAAAGGTTTGTATTTTTGCATTTAACGTATGGCAAATGGGATTATAAAATTCTCTTGGAGTTTGACCATCATTCTCCTGCCTTGAATTATTGATTCGAGACTCGAATCTATCATAATAATGTTATATAAATACTAATACTCCTTAAATATAATGTATTAAAAACATTCAAAATTTATATTCAAAATCTCTTTTTTATAATTTTTCATTAATTAACTCGATATGATCTTGCAATAATAACCATGCATGCTGACTAAACATTTTGAGAAAAATATTCTATAGGAATTTTAATTGTGTTTAAATTGCTATTTTAAGAACAGAGACAACACATACTATTCAGAACAAAAAATGTATGCCGTCAATTAGTTAATATTAAATTATATAAAATTAAATATTATACGGGTAAAGGTATTCGGTCACCGCATAGCCAAAACCCTATCAGCCACTAAATGGCCGAATCTGGTAGCCGACACCCGATCAGCCACTAGGATCGGCCTACACCCAAATATTACCCTTAATCACAGATTAAAGGTTAATCGCACCAATAAACTGATTAGGACGTATTACCTAATATAGTAATCAAGTTGCAGGGGCCATGGGGATCAGGACCCATAAATATCAGAATAAATAGCTCATGTCACGAGGTAACGTCACTGTTCATTAATTATCATCGATATTTGTGTTTGTCCTGACTTGAGCGTTGGAGTGTCTTTTGCAGGTACCATATATATATATATATATAATATTTTTAATAACATGCTGAAAAGTTGCTCATCAGGGTACTAAGGAAATTATTTGGAATAAGCTGGATATGGAGCTAAAAAAAATTGCACAGATTAATTGAGATAAAATTTGTGAACCTAAAGAATGGGGATATTTGGAAGTAAAAAAAACCTAGAGTTGTTTAATTTTAATCTGTTTGCAAAGTGTTGTTATCTCAAGATACTCAGGTAGTTAATTTAGTATAAAATTGTCTAACACCAATTAATTTCAAATGGCAGGAGGAATAGTAAATATGCTTCTGTATTGTGGCAAAATTTATGCAAAATGGAAGATGAATCAAGCTTTGCTCCTATGTAGTCTTCAAAAACTGTGGTTATCAGAAAAGTGAGAAATAGAAACTCTACACAAATTTTGGATGACATTTGGATAGGTTCAAGTTCTCTTAAAGAAGGTACTGATAGATTTGGCAAGGAGAAAGTTCCTAGAAATGCATATTCGGTGAGTTCTGATATTCTAATCAAACATGTGTACTCTCAATTAGAAAATTATTTGTATGCATCAATGTTGTATTCCAGATAAGGTGAGAAGTTTTTCTTGGAGATTGTAATTGGAGCAGTTGCCTACTAAACTTTCTCTTTTCAAAAGACAAGTTTTAAGTGACTTGCGGAAACCCTTGTAGTCTTTGTTAAATATTCTACAATATTTTGTCTTTTATATACAACATTACCTTCCTCTAGAATTGCTCATTTTCATTAATATAGAGGTTTAATAAAGGGAGGGGAGTAAAAAAGGCTTGATCAGTTGGAGTTGATTTTTGTCCTGATTCAAAGTTTGTTGGTAATAGAATTTTATCTTTTTCTAATTACTTCACAAATCTAGTCGCCTATTTCCTATAATGATCTAGTTCGTAAAAGGTTTTTAATATGGATCAAAATACTTTTTGTAATCTCTTAATAAAGTTATTGTTTTCCCTATAAAATAATGTTTAATTTATACAACTATAATCATAAGAATAATACTAGAGAATAGAGAATGTGTTGGATATATAAAAGCATTTTAGTTTCCTCGTATATAAAAAAAACTTTTTTACTATTTGATAATTTTGATACAATTTGTAACGTAGTAAGTTAATTCAGAAGGCCTAAAAGTCCAGTATGGGTGATTTAGTAGCCTAGAACGGACTGTTCCCAATCTGGAACAGGCCGTTCCAAACTACTAAATTGACCTGTAAATCGTAGTTGAGAATGGGTTGTTCTAGATGGAGTACGGGACGTTCTGGAGGGATGAGTACGGGCCGTTCTGGATGAAGAATGGGCCATTCTAGATGAGTCCCAGAACGGGCCGTTCTGGTTTCAGAACGGGCCGTTCTGCATGTGAGTTTTACACGTGATGAAGGGGTGCAGAACGGGCCATTCCAGATTCGAAACGGGCCGTTCTGGCCACTCTTGAACTTCTATAAATAGGGGTTGTGGGCAGTTGAGGAGAATTAGAAGTTTTAGAGAGAAGTTCTAGAGAGAAGGACTCTAGGTCTGTGGGCTCCTTTCTCTCTAATTTCTCTGTATGATTCTTCTTCTCCTCTAGACCACTAATGTCTTCTGTCTTCTCTTGAATTTTATATTAGAAAGCTTGTTTTTGGAGGATTGAAGTTCAAGAGTCAAGCTTGGAGGGTATTTCTTCTGCTTTTTCTTCTTCTCAGATTCTTGGCTTTTTAGAGCCAATCTTCAGGTGAGGGAAGCTAGAATGTAGATTGTTTAATTTCAGGAGAGTTAGGGAAGCTTTATGCATGGTGATCTTTTGTTGAAATAGTTGAGTTGTTGGGTGCTTAAGTTGATTTATGTTGTTTATATTGTGTAGTTGACATGATAGATGAATTTTAAATATGTTGTATATTGCTGAAGTTGTTTATAAAGTTGTTAAGTTGCATTAAGTTAATGTTGTAATGACTATAGTTGTTTAATTAAGTTGTTTGCATGTTGTTAAAATTATTAAAGTTGCATAGTTGTATAATTAAATAAGAAGTTGTCAAGTTGGTATATAATGTCTATTGTTGTAAGATGCCTATTGTTGTAAAGTTGGAAAGTTGGGGACATATGGTGAAGATATATATCCTATGTTGAGATACATAGTACTAAGGTGATAAGTTGAAAGTTGTTTTAAAGTTGAATCCCTTAGTACTGTGTGGGAAACAAGGAAATAGTCGATCCATGTCATGGTTAAATGACCAATTTGAGTAAGGTATCTAGTTAGAGATGTAGTCTTTGACTAGGTACTGGAAGGTGCGTGGTACTTGGAGGAAAGTGGGTGGGCTAACTCCATATGTGGATTGGTGATGCTAGCCAAGGTCGTGGTAGACTCATACCCAAACCCTTTTGTCCTGACAGTAGTACTGGACCTCCGAGTCTAAGTGACACACCTGAACAATCGCCTATTGTTGTCTATACCTGGTTCTCTTCAGAGTTCCTAACGTTATTCTATACCTGACCTGGTTGAGATAGGTCAAACGTTGGATTCGGTAGGGTTTATGCCACCTAGACTGCTCAACCTCAGTTGTTGGAGATCTCCCAATTGTATATGCGTGATGACGCATTAAATATTAAGTTGTATATTTTTTTTGTTGTTGTATTAAAGTTGCTTCTAAGTTGTATGAATGAGTTGTGTTTTTATGTTGAACTATATGGTCGTTTGTGATGATGATTGAATGAATGAGTGGTATAATATTTTCCCTATACTTGTATGGTTGATTATTGAACTCTAGCTTACCCTTCTGTTTCCATGTGGATGGACTGCTATGATCATACTGTGTATGGGAGCAAATCAGGGCTAGGGGTGGAGCTGTTGGCTGAGTCCACTACTAGAAGTGGAATTTTTTGGTTCCTAGCGTCAGGGTTATCACCTTGGGTAACAGTTTTGTACTTGACCAGCACTAGGAGATAGTAGTTTTGGATAACTGTATAAATACCTAATATATAAAAACTTAAATATTCTTATATATTTTCCATGTTTTTGTATTTATAAGTTATCCAATTTTATTATTTATCTTAGTTCACTGTTTTTAGTGCGATTCCACTAAGTGTAGGGACCACGGCGGGTCGTTACACTTTTATGGTATCAGAGCCGGTCGAGTCCTTTAAGTACTCTGTGGGGAGTGATCCTTCTAGGTTTCTGTTGTGTCATATCTCTGATATGTGTTAGTCTTTGATGATTTGTGGAGGGATTATGTTACTAAAAGGTTGTTTGAATTCTTGTAGTATGGTGAGACCGGAGTATGATCAGATAGCCAGGGCCATGGAGATGATGGCCATGGTGATGCAGCAGCAGACTGCACATTTTGCTAGGGCAGATGCAGAGAGAGCTGCAGCAGGACCTACTGGGTCTCATGTGAGCAGGGATCTGGCTAAGTTCAGGAAGTGTAGTCCTCCTCAATTCAGGGGTGATGTAGATCTGGAGGTAGCTGACCACTGGATTTGCGAGTTGGAGAAGATATTCTCAATTTTGGGTTGTTCAGAGGAGCGGAAGCTCGTGTATGTAGTGTATATGTTGACAGGGGAAGCAGAGCATTGGTGGAGGGATACTAGTCAGATGTTGATTGACCGTGGAGTGGTTGTGGACTGGGTGTGCTTCAAAAGGGTTTTCCTCGAGAAGTACTTCCCAGAAAGTGTCAGGCATGCTCGAGAGGCAGAGTTTATGAGATTACAGCAGGGTGAAATGTCAGTGATCGAGTACACCATGAGATTTGAGAATTTGACACGCTTCTACACCCAAGCCATCTCTGAGGCTTGGAAGTGTAGGAAGTTTGCTGAAGGCTTGAAGTATGATTTGAGGAGAGCGGTGGTACCTATGGCCATCACGGAGTTTCCAGCCTTGGTAGAGAAGGCGAACGTTGTAGAGCAGCTAGAGAGCATCGGCAAGCCAGCAAAGATTGTTGGTGGGCCAGTTGGGTCTAAGAGTAGTGGTGGTTCTCAGAGGAATCCTTACGACAGGCCCTAACAACAAGCGAGTTCTGCCACAAGGAAGTCTACTGAGAGAGCTAGGAGTGGAGCTTAGGCTGTTAGATGTTATCAGTGTGGTGGGCCACATATTGTCAAAGACTGCACTTCTGCACAACCTAGGTGTTTTAGGAGCAGCAAGTTTGACCAGCTGGCCAAGGATTGCCCAATTGGGGCAAGTCAGTCTGGAGGTGCTCAGAGGGTGGAGCGACCTAGGGCGACAGGGCAAGTTTTTGCTTTGACAGGAGCGAAGGCTTCCACCTCACCAGACTTGGTGAAGGGGAAGGGTAGAGCTGCAGGTACAAAGGTTTCTATCCTATTTGATTCTGGTGCTACACATTCATTTATATCTGTTGATTGTGTGGAGAGATTGAGTTTGTCGGTATCTGCATTACATGTTGATTTGTCTGTGTCTACTCCGGCTTCAGTTTCTATAGTGACGTCAGCGATGTGTATGAGATGCCTGATAGAGGTGTTTGGTAGGAGGTTCCAAGTGAACCTGATTGTATTGGCTATGGTGGATATCGACATAATCTTAGGGATGGATTGGTTATCTGCCCATCACATCCTTATAGATTGTGCTCGGAGAGAGTTGGTATTTTCTCAGTTGGAGGATGAGGTGTTGGTATCAGCGGGTTAGGTTGAGCAGTTGATGAGGGATGGAGCTAAGTGTTTCATGTTGTTTGCAGCTTTGAGTATTGAGACAGAGAGGGCCATCACTGGAATTGAGATTGTCAGTGAGTTTCCTGAGGTGTTTCCAGATGATGTGCCGAGATTGCCACCTATGCGTGATATTGAGTTTAGCATTGATCTGGTACCAGGTGCAAGACTGGTATCAGTGGCTCCTTATAGGATGGCTTCAGATGAGTTGGTAGAGCTGAAGAGACAGATTGAGGATTTGTTGGAGAAGCAGATGGTGAGGCCCAATGTTTCCCCTTGGGGTGCCCCGATACTATTAGTAAAGAAGAAGGATGGTGGGGCCCGTTTGTGTGTTGATTATCGACAACTAAATAAGTTGATGATAAAGAATAAGTATCCTCTTCCGAGGATTGATGATTTGATGGATCAGCTGAGAGGAGCTTCGATATTTTTGAATATTAATTTGAGATCCAGATACCATCAGATCAGGGTGAAGGAAAGTGATATACCGAAGACTGCTTTCAGGACTAGGTATGGTCACTATGAGTATGTAATGATGCCTTTTGGTGTCACTAATGTTCCGACAATGTTCATGGATTACATGAACAAGATTTTTAGACCGTTCTTGGACAAATTTATGGTGGTCTTCATTGATGATATTTTGGTATATTCTAGATCATTGGAGGATCACCGTGAGCATTTGAGGTTGGTGTTGGAGGTGTTGAGGGAGAGACAGTTGTATGTCAAACTGTCGAAGTGAGTTTTGGTTGTTCGAGGTGAGATTTTTGGGGCATGTGATATCAACAGACGGGATTGCAGTAGATCTAGCCAAGGTGGAGGCTGTGATTCAATGGGAGCGTCCGAGGACTGCTATAGAGATTAGGAGTTTTGTTGGGTTAGCAAGTTACTATCGAAGATTCATAGAGGGTTTCTCTCGAATAGTAATGCCTTTGACTCAACTGACTCGAAGGATCAACCTTATGTGTGGACGGATGCTTGTGAGCAGAGTTTTCAGGAGTTGAAGAGGCGGTTGACTACTTCTCTAGTTTTGGTATTACTTGACACTAGTGAGCACTTTGATGTGTTTTGTGATGCTTCTCACCAGGGGTTGGGCTGTGTGTTGATGCAAGGAGGGAGAGTAGTGGCATATGCTTCGAGGCAACTTAAGACCCATGAGAGAAATTATCCTACTCATGATTTGGAACTTGTAGTTGTGGTGTTTGCCTTGAATTCATGGAGGCACTATCTGTATGGTGCGAGATTCAGTGTATTTAGTGATCACAAGAGTTTGAAATACCTATTTGATCAGAAGGAGCTGAATATGAGGTAGAGGAGGTGGATGGAATTCTTAAAGGGCTTCGATTTCCAGTTGCTGTATCATCCTGGGAAGGCAAATGTGGTAGCAGATGCATTGAGTAGGAAATCCATTCACATGTCAGCTATGATGATTAGGGAGTTAGATTTGATTGAGCAGTTCAGAGATTTGAGACTAGAGGTGAAGGTTGTTCAGGATCACATTAGTTCTGGTATGATCACCATAACTAATGAGTTCTTGAGCAGGTGGGAACTAGCAGTTACAGGACCCAGAGTTGTTGAGGATTTTGGGATTGCTTGGTGCTGAGAGGGCCGCTGGTTTTGAGCTTGGTACTGATAGAATTTTGAGATTCAGAGGTTGGATTTGTTTACCTTGTGATTCAGAGTTGATGAGAGCTGTTCTAGAGGAGGGACACATGAGTCGTCTTAGCATACATCCTGGTATGACTAAGATGTATCAGGACATCAAAAAAAGTTTATGGTGGCCTGGTAAGAAAAAGGAGATAGCAGAGTTTGTGGCTGCTTCTCTGACTTGACAGAAAGCGAAGATTGAGCATCAGAAACCTAGAAGGGTTATGCAATTGATAGAGATTCCTGAGTGGAAGTGGGATAGTGTCATTATGGACTTTATAGTGGGTTTGCCTAGGACAGCTAGGAACAGTGACACTATCTAGGTGATTGTTGATAGGTTGACCAAGTGTGCGCACTTTCTTCTTGTCAGCAAAAGGTGGTCCTTGGAGAGGCTTGCACAGTTGTATATCAAAGAGATAGTACGGTTGCATGGAGTGCCTTCTAATTTTATCTCTAACAGAGATCTAAGGTTTACTTCCAGGTTTTGGCAGACTCTGCATCAGGCTTTGGGGACGAGGTTGAGGTTGAGTTCTGCTTATCATCCACAAAAAGATGGTTAGTCGGAGAGAACAGTTCAGTCACTAGAGGATCTCTTGAGAACTTGTGTTTTGGATCATCTGGGTAGCTACCATTAGTGGAGTTTACCTACAACAATAGTTATCATGCGAGTATTGGCATGGCACCTTTTGAGGCTTTGTATGGCAGGAGGTGTAGGACTCCATTATGTTGGTATCAAGAGGGTGAGTCAGTAGTGGTTGGTCCAAAGTTAGTTCTTCAGACTACTGAGATGGTGAGACAGATTTAGGAGAGGTTGAGGGCTACCTAGAGTCGACAAAAGTCTTATGCTGATAGGAGGAGGAGACCTCTAGAGTTTGAGGAGAGAGAGCACGTGTTTCTCAAGGTGACACCCACTACTAGTGTGGGAGGGGTAGTAAGGGCTAAAAAGCTCACTCCGAGGTTCATTGGTCCTTACCAGATCCTTCATCGTGTAGGTCCGGTGGCTTATCAGTTGGCGTTACCTCCGATTCTGTCCAACCTGCATGATGTGTTTCACATTTCACAGTTGAGGAAGTACATCAGAGACCCGAGTCACGTGATAGAGATGGATGAGGTGCAAGTTAGAGAGAACTTGACCTATGAGAAGAGACCGGTAGCTGTGGTTGATCACAAGTTGAAGGAGCTTCGTGGCAAGTCCATCAGCTTAGTGAAGATTCTTTGGGATGCAGCTATTGGTGAGGCAACCTGGGAAGTAGAGAGTCAGTTCAAGGAACATTATCCATTCCTCTTTTTAGGTAAGCCTATTTTCGGGGACGAAAATTCCTGTTTGTTGGGGGTATTGTAACGTAGTAAGTTAATTTAGAAGGCCCAAAAGCCCAATATGGGTGATTTAGTAGCCCAGAATGGGTCGTTCCCAATCTGGAACGGGCCGCTCCAAACTACTAAATTGACTTGTAAATCGTAGTTGAGAACGGGCCATTCTGGATGGAGTACGGAACGTTCTGGATGGAGTACGGGCCGTTCTAGATGGAGAACGGGCCATTCTGGATGAGTCCCAGAATGGGCCGTTCTGCATGTAATTTTTACACATGATGAAGGGGTGCAGAACAAGTCGTTCCGGATTCGAAACAGACCGTTCTGGCCACTCCTTAACTTCTATAAATAGGGGTTGTGGGCAGTTGAGGAGAATGAGAATTCTTAGAGAGAAGGACTCTAGGTTTGTGGACTCCTTTCTCTATCTAATTTCTTTGTATGATTCTTCTTCTCCTCTAGACTACTAATGTCTTCTGTCTTCTCTTGAATTTCATACTAGAAAGCTTGTTTTTGGAGGATTGAAGTTCAAGAGTCAAGCTTGGAGGATATTTCTTCTTCTTTTTCTTCTTAGATTCTTGGCTTTTTAGAGTCAATCTTCAGGTAAGGGAAGCTAGAATGTAGATTGTTTAATTTCAGGAGAGTTAGGGAAGCTTTATGCATGGTGTTCTGTTTTTGAAATAGTTGAGTTGTTGGGTGCTTAAGTTGATTTATGTTGTTTATATTGTGTAAGTTGACATGATAGATGAATTTTAAATATGTTGTATGTTGCTGAAGTTGTTTATAAAGTTGTTAAGTTGCATTAAGTTAATGTTGTAATGACTATAGTTGTTTAATTAAGTTGTTTGCATGTTGTTAAAATTATTAAAGTTGCATAGTTAACGTTGTATAATTAAATAAGTTGTCAAGTTGGTATATAATGTTTATTGTTGTAAGATGCCTATTGTTGTAAAGTTGAAAAGTTGGGGACATATGGTGAAGATTTATGTCCTATGTTGAGATACATAATACTAAGGTGATAAGTTGAAAGTTGTTTTAAAGTTGAATCCCTTAGTACTGTGTAGGCGACAGGAAAATAGTCGATCCATGTCATGGTTGAATGACCAATTTGAGTAAGGTATCTAGTTAGAGATGTAGTCTTTGACTAGGTACTGGAGGGTGTGTGGTACTTGGAGGATAGTGGGTGGGCTAACTCCATATGTGAATTGGTGATGCTAGTCAAGGTCGTGGTAGGCTCATACCCAAACCCTTCTGTCCTGACAGTAGTACTGGACCTCTGAGTCTAAGTGGTACACTTGAGCAATCGCCTATTGTTGTCTATACCTGGTTCTCTTCGGAGTTCCTAACGTTGTTCTATACCTGACCTGGTTGAGATAGGTCAAACGTTGGATTCAGTAGGGTTTATGCCACCTAGACTGCTCAACCTCAGTTGTTGGAGATCTCCCAGTTGTATATGCGTGATGACGCATTAAGTATTAAGTTGTATATTGTTGTTGTTGTTGTATTAAAGTTGCTTCTAAGTTGTATGAATGAGTTGTATTTTTATGTTGAACTATATGGTCGTTTGTGATGATGATTGAATGAATGAGTGGTACAGTATTTTCCCTATACTTGTATGGTTGATTATTGAACTCTAGCTTACCCTTCTGTTTCCATGTGGATGGACTGCTATGATCATACTGTGTATGGGAGCAGATCAGGGCTAGGGTAGAGCTGTTGGCTGAGTCCGCTGCTAGAAGTGGAATTTTTTTGGTTCCTAGCGTCAGGGTTACCACCTGGGGTAACAGTTTTGTGCTTGACCGGCACTAAGAGATAGTAGTTTTGGATAACTGTATAAATACCTAATATTTAAAAACTTAATTATTCTTATATATTTTCTATATTTTTGTATTTATAAGTTATCCAATTTTATTATTTATCTTAGTTCACTATTTTTAGTGAGATTTTATTAAGTGTAGGGATTACGGCAGGTCATTACACAATTGATAGACAGAATCTAAAATGAACTACTATTACATGTGGTTCGCTATGAACAACAAATAATATTTTACTTTTGTTTTTTTTATATAAAATATTTACTTTTTAATGAATAAATTTATAAACTTTTACTATTTTGTTTTTCTTAAAAAGAAAGAAAGAAGAATTGAATACTAGCTAGTAGATATAAGTAGTATTTTCTAAAAATATATATATATATATATATATATATAAAAGAACCATACTTTTATAGTTGGATCGAGTTTAATTGGTTTACAATATTAATATAAATAAATTTTATGCCGACATATGTTAATTTTTTGACACTATTATTTGTCGTTATATCATGCATGTTTTTATTAACTAAAATCTAGGTGCCGAATATAATTTTTAATTTACTGCATGTGATCAATATCAATATATAAAAAGAAAAAATGCTAGTAAGTTGACACCATGCATCTTTATCTTAATCTGTTTCTTTTTTCTTTTTCTGTTAATAACAACGCATGCATGTGAACAGAAGATATAAACGCGTTTGTGTAATAAATTTCGCACTCCAACATATAGGTGTGTCAAATAAAGAATACGACCTGACTCACAATGTATGCGTACTGTGTGTCATAATTATATCAATTTATGAACACTTAGTTTCTCCGTATATATGGCGTCACCCTCCAACGTGCCCTCTTTGAACTCAGATGTTACTTTGTTTTCTTGTCTTGCATCTGTTTCTCTTATTCTCTTCAACATTGTTTCTCTTTAGGGTGAAAATTTCTCCACAAAAATAATTTACACACATATATATAGGGAAACATCAACCTAGCTCCTCTTAATTAGTTTGTTACAATAATATGGGAAGGTCACCATGCTGTGAGAAGACGGGGCTGAAGAAAGGACCATGGACACCTGAGGAAGACCAAAAGCTCATTGCTTTCATCGAAAAGAATGGCCATGGAAGCTGGCGTGCATTGCCTGCAAAAGCTGGTACTTATTATTGGACTATATATAGTTTTTCCACTTATTTAATTATCATGCATTATTTAAGCACCCTTTATAACCATAGACAATGTTAAGAAAGTATACTTATGGATTAGGAAGTTAACTAACCACTATATATATCCAACATGTCAATCATCTGATGTGAAGTTGTTTCAGTTCAATCAAGAATTTTAAGTTTGAGTTTGTATTAAAAACTTGAATAAAGAACTTTGTTGTTCATACTGATCAATAAATTTGTGATCATCTATACCAGAAAGTTAACTATCGATGAGATTATATGTAAAACAAATTCTATGAAGCTAAAATTCTAACTATTTTTATCTTTTAAACAAAGTGCATTAATTTGCTTAATTACTTATAGTTAGAAATTCTTAAAGAATCTATTTTAAACAAGAGATATAATGAGTGATCACTCTTTGTTTGGCAGGGCTTAGAAGATGTGGAAAGAGTTGTAGACTTAGGTGGACAAATTACCTTAGACCTGACATAAAACGAGGAAAGTTCAGCTTGCAGGAAGAGCAAACCATCATTCAACTTCATGCCCTTCTAGGAAACAGGTCAGTTATCATGATTTCTCCATGGAACATATAGAGTACAATTCTTAATTTTTCATATATATGTTCTCATAAGTGGTTTTAAATTTGTATCTAAGCATACCCTTACTTAATAATTAATGATATAAAATATATAATAGGAAAAGAAATTTCTCCCACAAGTATTTTACATGATGCTAGTCCGGTGTGGTGGAGATTAACTTCAAAAGTAACTATTAGTTTTTAAGTTATTTTTAAGAGTTATAACAAAAAAATTTTAAAAAATAAAAATAAACTAAATGAAACATGCATTTATTATAAATTTCTTAAAAAATTAATTTCCTCGAACTCACCTTTCCCTTTCATCCGATGGTTTGTAATAACTGCTTCGAAATTTATGTGTTTGTACTTTATGTGCAACCAACATTTCCAAATGCATTCAATTTGAGCGTATTGGATTAATATGTCCTCTTTTTTTTTTTGTACATAATTGGTTAACAAATTAAAAACTTCGTTAACGTTTTAAGAAAACAGTGCTTTTAGTTTGCTGACCAATAAGTGTATGTTAATTATTAACTTATAACTAATAACTCGTTCATTATTATTGCTTTTAAGAGATGTGGAATTTCGAATTGGAGAATAAGTGTTTTGATACAGATACACGACAGAGCTGGAAAAGTTGAACAAGATAACCTCATACTATTTAGATAAAATTTTGCTTAAGAAATTTCAGCAATATTAACAAACAAATTAAATTCACCACTGTATATAGATATATTAGGATATAAGAGTCTTCTAATTAAAAATGATTATCTTAATAAAAGGTTATAAAAATAGTAAAATATTCTAGAAACAAATTCACTTTATATGATTTCTCTTCCAACAATAAATTATTAAGTGTTTCTACACCATCCATCATTAAGTATAGCACAAATATGATACACGTAATATTAATTTTTTAAAAATAAAAAAGCTTAAATATATTATACCGCGATTAATTGAGATCAAGAAGTGATATTGTATATAGTACTTTCTCTTTTTTCAACATATTCATATTGAAATTCATAATGTATGCAAGTTGAAATCTTGAATGGGGCATGTTGTTCAGATGGTCAGCCATAGCCTCTCACTTGCCAAAGAGAACAGACAACGAAATCAAAAACTATTGGAACACACACCTCAAGAAGAGGCTCGACAAAATGGGCATTGACCCCACCACCCACAAGCCCAAAATGGAGTCCCTAGGGCACTCCAAGGACGGCTCCAACCTCAGCCACATGGCTCAGTGGGAAAGCGCTCGCCTCGAAGCCGAAGCCAGACTCGTCCGCGAATCCAAGCTCCAAGAACAAACCCAAACCCAAACTCTAACCCTAATCACAACACCAACCAGACTCATCCTCAACAAAATCATACCCCAACAACAACAACGACAACACTCTTTACCACCTTGCCTCGACGTCCTCAAAGCGTGGCAAGGTTCATGGTCAAACGACAACGATAATAATAACAATAATAATAAATATTTATCATCATTGTCATCCTCACTAACACCACCATTACTAAACGACAAGAAAGTGCATAGCATGTATGCCATGATGCTTGCCACGGATGACCTAGAGTCACCAACTTCCACGTTGTGCTTCCCCGAGAGTAATGCTCACGTGCAAATCAATACTACCAACGTCAACATGGTGTCGACCAACCACCACGTGGGGTTAATGTTGATGAATGACGTCAACAACTATTTACTTCCTCCAACGACCACTGTCGCTGATTCTTCCGTGGATGAGTTCATCTTCGCCAAAAGTTTGGGCACGTGCGGTGCGGCTGCGTACAAACACAACGGTGCTGGTGACGAAGGGCTCGCGGAAACCGAGAAGAGTGTGTACGATACGATGTCGTGTTTGCAAGACCATGACGACATTATGGTGGCTGTTGACGCGTTGAGAGGTGCGGGTTATAGGAATAATAATGGTGGTGATAATGATAATAGTAATGTATCAATGTTTACACCTTTCTCTGGCAATGTTATGGTAGGTTTCAATAACGTTAACGACGTGTCCGAATTTGATTCCAACGAGGACCTAGCGGCGGAAAACATGGACGTCATCAATGGAGATGGAAGCAGCTGCGGAATGAGCTTCGAGGAGAATAAGGATTACTGGAATAGTATGCTTGGTTATAAGTGAACAATGTAGCCTACGATGTTATCATCTTAATTTGTTTTTGTTTTGTTTTAGTTTATTTCAGAATCAAAATGGTGTGGTTAATAAAAACTTTGTAATCAGGGATTAGATTCTCATGTCCTCGGATAGAGATCGGTTTCTTATTAGAACTTTGAGATGCTTAGTTTCAGATCAAGAGATATGCTTGAGTTAGGAAAAAAAAAAGTTTATTTCAGATAAATAATTAACTATTTTCTTTTGTCTTTCTTCAAAGGTTTTTATTTTTTAAAGATCAGTTTATTCCTGTTTTCTTCGTAGTTTATTTCAATGTCCGGTAAAGAATTCATTAATTCTTGTAGGCACAAATTTAAATTTGTGTTTGTTGATATAGAGCTTGGATGCCGAAAACGTTTATTTTCAGGAATTTCTCTACTAAAAATAATGAGGAAGTCTCAAAGATATTTCTAAATTTATATTTAAATATACTCACATCAATTAATTAGTCTGTGACAAGTGACCTAATAATATTTATAACGCAAGAGTGGTTTCTTCACAATAGTTTGTGTACAGTAGGTACTACAAGTTTGGATAATAAAACTACCCACTACTCCCACAGGTTATCAAAATACCATTTGATGGATTATGAGTATTAAATGAAAAAAAAAATCTCAAAAATAGATAAGAAAATTAGAATAATTAATTGGACAAAATTAAAATACAGCTCATTAGATAATTTTAGTGTTATTTTGTATTCAAAATTAGAATTTTACTTTGAAAATGTATATATGCGATCAAAAAATTATAGTAAGTGTCGGTATATATATATATATAAAAGTTATATTGAACTAAACTTCATTTTTCAAACAGACACTTACCAATAAAAGTGAGCAATAGTGCTAGCTTGATTATGTGTATAGTCCCTTGTGTATATCCTCTGTCCCTTCAAAAATTATAGCGTTTACTTGGAGATTTTTGCAAGATTGTTTACCCACTAAATAGCTACAACACTGTAGTATTATCTTAGATGTGTAGTATTATCTTAGATGTACAAGGTACTTTTTGTGTATTTTGTTTTTTCTCATCATGAATACTGCAATCATTTATTCTTTACTTGTCTTCTATCATATGAGATATGGTCTACTAGTCTATTTATGACTGGGCTATGTTGGGGTTTCACATAATGATGGGTACCACAATCTTTGTAGAAATATAATATTGTAGAGTAACTCACATTATTTGACACACGGTGGTATGGGCCTTATGATTGTAGTACGTAACTCACATTATTTGACACACGGTGGTATAGGCCTTATGATTGTTGAGAAATATATATATATATATATATATATATAAGAATGACATGCCTCATCAAAATGATAGTTTTGAGAGAGAAAAAAACTCAATTCGTAGCAGTCCAGAACTGCGTCCAGAAAGCAAAAATGAATTTCCATCTGAACGCCACATATTATATTTTCAGCTTTGATGTGGGATTCGCCCGTTATATATATATATATATATTGAATCCTTTTGTTAGGGATTTTGTTTATTGCACTATTTTGTGGAATCAAATGATGATTCTTTATTGTTATAAGGTTTTTTTTCCTCTCTCTAATTGTGTCAAGTATCTGAATAGGATAAATTAATTATGAAGAATTAAAAGAATCTTTGAATCTCTATTTGACTACTGATGAGAATCTAAATTTAATTTTAAGGGTTAAAAAGTTTACACTTCTAACTAATCAATCATATTGGTAAGATTAATCATGATGAATATAAATACTATGACATAGTAAAATTGAAGATGCTTAAATATTAAATATATCAATGGAGAAATCTATTGACAAAACATTCCAGAGAAATGAGAATGCCAAAGATTTTACGAATTTTGTTGGTGAGAAAGTACATGAAATTTGATTTATGATAATGTCAAAGATTCTATGAGAATATGATTTGGATTTCTATTTTATTTTAATTACAATTTTGAATTTTGTGACGGTAAACCGGTGATTAGATTTAGGGTTAAATATGTTATTAATTTTTATATAATTAGTAACTTTTAATTTTAGTCTCGGTAAAACAAAATTCTATTTTTCACTTCTCTAAAATTAGAATTATTATTTTTAGTCCATATTTTTTATATGATATTTTTTAGCTACTTTTTTATTATAAAGTTAAATAACCATGTAAAGTGTTATCTACTAGTTTATTTATGGTTGAGCTATGTTGGAGTTTCACATAATGATGGGTATCACAATCTTTGTCTCCAAGGAAAATAATACCAAGAGTACATTATTTGTCACATGGTGGTATAGACTTATGGTTGTTGAGAAATAAAACTATACTCCTAGGAGCTACTTTTGATTTTATTGCATTGCTAGCTCAAATAAAAATTTTGTCATAGGGTTAGTTAATTAGTAAAGAGGGCAAATTTTCAAGTAGAACATCCTTTGATTGGTATGTAAATCCAATAGAATATTTGAGAAAATGATAATTTTGTCATGACAAAAAACAAAGCCTAATGACTGCTATAATTGTTATGTTAATTCATTACTACATGCATGGAACACATGGTTTGCTGGATTGAAATAGTTTTTTTTCCAACTACATTGACAAGACTTGGGTTTTGGAAAGTATAGTGTTTATAACACACATTTTGAGGGAGTTATGGTGCAACAATTCAAAAAAATAAAAAGGATGCTCTAGCGACCAACTAAATCTATCACTATTTAGTCTATTTCGGTAGCTATTATGTATTGCGATCAAATTAGTGACCGATAAAAGTCCATCGCTAAAAGCCTAGTCGCTAATGTTAACAATCATCAAAATTGTTTTGTTTGCAATTTAGCGACTGAACAACAATGTTGCTAGACCTAAATAATTGGTTGCTTGGCTTGAGGAGACCAGTTTTGCAATCGAAATTTGTGATTATACATCAAATTTCAGTGATTATTTCAATGATTGGAATTTGATGTATAATCATGAGTTATTGAGTGAAATAACTTGAGATAAACTTATTTTTGGAGTAAATAATGAGATATTAATACATAGATCAAGTCTGTAAGTTTTGAAAAGATTTAAAAACTATTTGATACTCCATTTTATTAATTCAAATTGACAAATAATCATAAAAGTATTTTATATGTTAATTTGAATTAATGAAATGAGATATCAAATAGCTTTCAAAAAATTTTAAAAATTGTAAACTTGATCTATGTATTAAAAATTTTAAATTCAATAGCTATATGGTTGAAATTTGATATACAACATGAGTTATTAAATAGAGTAAGTCTGGGTAGACTTACTATACATTAAAACATGAAATAAATGGATTCCTTTTCATATATATTTATATATATAAAGAGTGATTTACTTACTATACATTAAAACTTTTGTTTTATATCAAATTTCAACAAATTCAACCGTTAAATTAAAGTTTTTTATATATAGGTTAAGTCTGTAAATTTTTAAAAAAATTTGAAAATCATATGATATTTCGTTATATAAATTTAAATCAATG